AACCCAGCACTTCCCTCCTCCATTCCCGCCTCTCCTAGGAGGACATTTCTCCACCCCGCCCCTCCAGCCCCAGCCGGGGATTCTCCGGGAGGTGTCACCCCAGGGCCCTGCCGGAGCCGGAGTCACTTACTCAGAGCCGCTGTTGCTGCCGTGGCCCAGAGGGTCGGCAGGGCGGCTGGAGTCCAGGACGTGGATCCCCAGGGAGTTGATCGCCCGCATCAAGACAGTCACCACAGCCTCCACCGGAAGCTTCTCGAGAACGATAACCCGGCAGCGGCTCAGAAGAGCAGCGTTGACCTGGAAGGAGGGGTTCTCCGTGGTCGCCCCAATCAGCGTGATGGTTCCACACTCCACGTGAGGAAGGAACGTGTCCTGATCGTGGAGGAAAACAAAAGAAATTGACCCCCGTCGACACCCTGCAGGATCCTGGGTAAGTCGGCTGTTCCTTCCTTTTCCTAATTCTGCGCTCAGGATTAGGTTAGGAACTTAGACTCACCGTGAGTCCTGACGTTTAAACACTTACGAAAATTGGAAGCTTGACCCAAAGTGGTGTTTCTGATATGTATAGCTCAGAAGTATACCAACAATTTCATTTATCAGATAGAGGAAGCATTTTCTGGTCACCAAAAAAAAAAAACGCTAAGAAAAAGTGAAGGGACACAGGCAAAGGAGAAGGGTTGAGGGTCTAGGCTTCTGCGGACGGAGAATTATCATCACCCCCAGCCCCGAGCATTTATGCAGTGACCTCACGGGCTTTACACTCAAGTCAGCATTCACAAGGACCACAAGAAAGTAAAAAGAAGTGAACATACCTGCTGGGACTTATTGAACCGATGAATCTCGTCAATAAAAAGGATGGTTTTCCTCTTGAAAAAGCGCTTCTCGTTCTGAGCTTGTTTGATGACGTCGCGCACGTCGGTTGTCTTGGCGCTGGTCGCCGACAACGTCACGAACCTCACGCTGTGTTTCTTGCTGTTGTTAGCTATGATGTGGGCCAGCGTGGTCTGCGACAGAGGGCAGAGCGTGGAAGCTGGTGAGATGGAGGGACGCGCACCTAGGCTGCCGCGGCAGCGTTCACCCGCGGCCTGAGGCGCGCTCGGCAGCAGATACGCTCGGAAACCGCGCAGCGCGCTTCCAAGTGGAAAAGAATGTTACAAAGAAAACAGGAAAGCAGCTGAAAGTTCGCCGATCCTGATCTCCTCTCCTTGGTGTCTAACCCCATCTGATGCCTTCCTGGGGACGCTAAGATCTCTGGAACCCCCGGAAGGAGCGGCCACCTTGAGGCGGCAGAGCCTGGCGACAGCCGTGACCTCTCCCAGCCAAGGACACAGCACCACGGACGGCTGAGGCGCAGACCCACGGGGCTGGCGGGGCCACATCCGAAAGCTCCGCAGGGCAGCTCAGAAGAGGAGAGCCAGCCCTTGAACTGAGAGCCCAGTGATGACCCCCGGCGCTCAGGGCGACCCCCGCCCCGTGGGACTGTCCACTGAGGACAGAGACGGAACAGCAGCACCGCGACCCTGTCAGCGCTTCCCGGGAAGCGACGCCCGGCGCCTGGCATTTAGTGGGTACTTGATAAACACACACACGCTGTTATTAACTTTATTATTACTGTCAGCAGTGAAGTATAGCAGTTAAGGACGGAGGTAAAGAAAAACGGAAGACCGTGTCACGAGGGACAAATGTGCTCCTGAACGAGTGGGAAGGGGGCGTTCTGTTTTCTGAAGTCGCACAGCACCATCATGCACTGCGGCTGCTCCTCTGCAAGCCCGGCCACAGGCCACATCTGCCTCGCTGTGACCGGGGACCAACCACTACTCTGAACGGTTCGGCCCACTGGCTCTCCTGCCAGGCATGCGCTCTGAGCGCCCCTCCGCAGGGGCGTTTTTCTTGCCATCTGCCTCTACGCCCGCCACCTGATTAGCTGTTCTGACCGTCTTAAGAGCTCTAGGGAATCACTAAGAATGCTACCGCGTGCTGCCATGCTTCCTGGGTCAACTCCGATTGTTCCTGGCTTCAGAAGCTCCAGTGCAAACAAGAAGGCACACCACGAGCAGGACGCACTCTAGGAACTGGAATAAACGGAGATGCGATTAAGCTGTGGGAGACGAAGCTGGAAAGAACAACTGGAGGAAATCCGTAAAAGCCCTTGTGCGCTGAGGGCTCTGGGCCCGCTCACAGCTCTGAGCCCCTTCGTGCCTCGTCCTGGGCTTTGCTTTTCGCTCCCTCGTGCTCCTCTCCTCCCTTTCCCTGAAGACAGGAAAATATGTATTTCAGCACCTCCTCGCTTTCTCTTTTTTCCGTCTAGCTCCTGTCTCCTTAGGGCTCCTTCCCAGGCTCCCCAGCGCTTTTCCAGTGACGTGTTCTCTAGACCCCAACATCCTAAGTGCCCTCCTCTGGGCTTGTGCCCGCCCCTAAGAAAACACTGGCCACCAAAATGCACCGATGTTGCTTCTTTAAAGGATAAGCCATCCTAAGGACAGTTATGGAAACGGCAGATGAAGGCGGCTCGCAGGGGCAAGGAGTTCTCCTGTCAGTCCTGTTAAGCGAGCACAGTCTCAAGTTTTAACGAACACCCGTCTGCTGAAAAAACCAACGGCTACAAGGAGCCGGAAGCAGCACAACAGAAATTCTACAATTCCCGGCTGCTGGCTGCACACCTGACTCCACCCGCCCCCGGAACAGGATGGACCACGGCTCTGGGCGGCCCGCCACGGGCGTCCCCCGATTCCCGCGCACCCCCCGCATTCAGACACCTTCACCCTGTTAACGCCCGGAGAACGCGCCTGCGGCCCGGGGGCGCTGCGGGGCGGGCGGACGCGCTCACCTTGCCGCAGCCCGGCGGCCCCCACAGGATGAGCGAGGGCACCTCGTTGGCCTCGAGCAGCGAGCGCAGCAGCGTCTCGGGCCCCACGGCGCGGCCCTGCCCCACGAAGTCCTGCAGCGCGTCGGGCCGCATCGTGTCGGCCAGCGGCTTCCCCTGCAGCAGCTGCCGCACTTCCTCGGCCGCGGGGACCCGGGCGTGCGGGCGGCCCCCCGGGGCCTCGAAGGTGGCGGCGGCGTCCGCGTCCCAGCGGCCCGCGTCGTCCTCGCCATCTGCGTCGCCCGCCGCCTCCTCCTCCTCCGGCGCCTCCGCCTCGTCCCAGCTCCGCGGGGACGCGCTGCCCGCCGCCGCAGCCGGCCGCTGCCCCGCGCCCTTCCCGCCGGGGCTACCGGGCCGCGCCACCGGGAAGTCGGGGATGAGCCGCGCGCCGCTGGGCGTGGGCGGCGCGTCGTAGCTCTCTCGGCTCTCGGTCTCGCCGCCGTCGTCCGGCTCCTCGGCCTCGCCCTCGCTGCTCTCGGCCGCCGTCGGCGTGGCCGGCTGCTTGAGCGCGGAGCTCTCGGACGGCCGGCGCCGCTTGGCGCGGGGCGGCGCGGGCTCCGCGTGGCCCGCCGGGTGCAGCAGCAGGCAGCGGTCTAGGTGCGAGTTGATGTGCGCGGCGGGCATGGTCTGCTGGCACACGGGGCACTGCACCCGGTGCAGCTGCGCCAGGAACGGGTCGTCCTCGGGCCCGCTCACCTCCATGGCGGCCGCCGCGCTAGGCCCCGCGCCGCGCGACCCTCGCTCGGGGAGGCGGCAGGACGCGAGCGGGCCGGCGGAGGGCGCCGCTCATGCCTCACGTCCGGGCTGCCCGCGTCGGCCCGCCCTCGGCCGGCAGCCCCGGCGCCTCGCGCGGCGCGCCGGGAAGCAGAGTCCGCGGCCCCTCGCCCGGCAGCCGCTGGCCACGGCCCGCGCGGCCTGACGGGTAACGTAGTCCGCGGCCGCTCGCAACGGTTCGCGCGGCCTGTCGGGAAATGTAGTCCACGGAGGTTCGCTTGGCCGCCGGGGGCAACGGCTCGCGCGGCCTTTCGGGAAGTGTAGTCCACGGACGTTCTCCCGGCTGCAGTGCGTTCCCTTCCGGCCGGCCTCGCGAGAGGCCAGCGGGTTGCGCGTGCGCAGGCCTATCCTCCGTGGACGGGGCGCCGGCGGAGCCGTGGAAACGCGCCGCGGCTGCGCGAGGGGAGTGGCTTTCCGCACGTGGCGGAGGTCAGGGGGCGGAGAAATGGGAGAGACGCGGGACGCGCCGGCGGGGAGCAGGGGTGTACGGAGCAAAGGGAACACGAAGGTCCTCCGGGTGGGCGTGTTCGCCTGGGCGGCGGCGGCTGCGGCCGCCAGAGACAAGGAAAGGGAACCATCCGCCCCAGATTGTTGGCCTTTTACCCGGAACGCGCGCTCGCACACGTGGTGTCTCACGGCCGTTTTGTAGTTAAATGTTAGAAATGGCCGGGCATCTCGAGGCGGCGTCAGGCTCCGCCGCGCGCGTCGCCCCCGGGCCGAGCGACGTCGGGTTGAGTCACGCGAGGGGTCTGGCCTGGGGCGACGGGATGACCGTCTCTGACACGCGTTCCTGCTTTTCTCTAAACTTCTCCTTCAGATATGACACAAACCTGCATTTTTGGTATTTAAAAGAAGAAAATAGAAGGGGAATGAAAACAGAAGTGAGACAGTTTTAGAAAAGAAGGGACTTTCCTAAAAGTTGACAAAACTGGGATGTTTAATCTGCACAAGAACATCTCCTTGGAACTTACCCAAACGCAGACCCCTAAGGGTTAAATGAGCCTCTTCACATGAGATGATTTTACAAAAAGGAATGCCTCACAAAGAACTAGAATTAGGTAAAAGATAGTATGAAAGGAAAGGGCAAAGGAAGTGTGTTTTTTTCAGTTGATACTGGTTGTGAAGCATGTGTCCCAACCTGCTGGCAAGTGTTGAGAGGACTGAAATCAGACTTTCTGATAGTTTTTCCAACTACGTATGTTAGGCTCAAAAGTAGTATTAGTAGGGGCTTCCCTGGTGGCGCAGTGGTTGAGAGTCCGCCTGCCGATGCAGGGCACGCGGGTTCGTGCCCCGGTCCGGGAGGATCCCACATGCCGCGGAGCGGCTGGGCCCGTGAGCCATGGCCGCTGAGCCTGCGCGTCCGGAGCCTGTGCTCCGCAACGGGAGAGGCCACAGCAGTGAGAGGCCCGAGTACTGCAAAAAAAAAAAAAAAAAAGTAGCATTAGTAGAAAAGGTAAGTAAGAATGAGTTGTGGAGTCTTTTATTGTTTGGCCATCATACAATTTGAAATGTAGGATCATGAGCTTTTATATAGCCTTTTACTTATCGCCCAGAGCATCCAGCCCCCGAACTTCACAAAAGCAAGTACTTTGCGAAGAGGTTTGCGGGCGGGGAAAGAAATCTTCTCTCCTTGTCTTAGGGTTATTAGCTCGGGCCCTGTGAATGTAACCGACAAAAGACAGATTAAAAAGAAAAACAGACTGTTAACATTTGCAGCGCCCCTACACACGGAGTAACTGGTGATGGGCGGGCTTACGTAGCGATTTATCAAAAGAACAAAACATTTGTAGAGAAGCCACAAGACAAAGGAAAAGGACCTTGAGTTTCTAGGGCGGCCAATTGTGGGAAGGCAAATATATGGGAAACTGATGGGAGACAAGAACTAGTTAGTAAAGTTGGTTATGCAGATTCCTCCAGTGCCACCTCTGGGCTGATGAGGGTCTAGAGTTTTCTCCCGTGATTGACTTCTGCCCTTTCTGGTAGATTGGGGGCGGGGGGGGACACCTTTGCAAACTTATGTCCTGCTCTTAGGAAGTAGGGAGAGAGCAGCGAGCTTTTCTTGTATCAGCTTAATTGCCTTTAGCTCAATATAATCCTTATGCCAAACTGGCACGGTTTGGTGCAGCGTATTCTGCTGCCCATCAGGTTCTAGGGCTGTCCTCAAAATGAGTTGTGAAGGAAAGTGTTACTAAGTGTGGAAATATGCACTACGTATAGAAATAGATGGACATGTGGTCTCCTCTAACACAAGCAAAATATTTTAAAATAATGACAACAAACTGGGCAACAACTCTGAAGCTTCCTGAGTCTTTTAATAAATGTAAAGCTTAAAACTTATTTTTTTTTTAGAAATGATATATACTTATTATGGAAAATCTGCTCAGAGATTCTCATTGTTAATATTTCAGCACCCTATTCCAGTCTTTTAAAATGTATTTCAAAAAGAAAAATATATCTCAAGACTACACTGGGTATTTACATATAAATGTAAACCTAATATATATTTTCAAAAGTTTTTACTGTAATGGGAAAATATTCATTGCATAATATGGAGTAAAAGTTAGCAGATACAAAGCTATGTAGTATAATCACATTTTTATACAAGTGTTCTACTCGTATATATAATATATAAAAGAAAAAATAAGAAAAAGGAAACATATGAAGAAAAGACACAACTCTCCATACACGTATATGTACTTTACTCCCATGGTGTCATACATGAATAAAATCGCACCATTTGGATAGACTGTGAGGTGAAAGTGCACTGGACTTGCCCTAGAATCTGGGCTTGAGTTGGACATGGTGTGACCTTGGGCGAGCTCCTTCCCCTCCCAGACTCAGCTTCCAAATCTAAGAGGGGAACAGTAACGCCTCCCTCTCAATCTGTTGTGAGAATGAAGTGATCTTATGAATGTAAAGGTGTTTAGTACCGTGCCCAGCCCAGAGTAAGCCCTCTATTACTCTGTTTTCCTGAACCCCAGCTCATCCTGCCTGAAGTTCAAAGTTTTCTCCACTAGATGGTGATGGTAGAAAGATAAAATGAGTAAACCATGCCAGCCTCTAACCAGGTTTAAACTTCCTTTTTAAATCAGCATAAATACAAATAAGTGTAAACTCTGTTATAAGGTTGCAGTAAATGAGTTCAATGTAAAGCAGTAAGCCCTCGGCTTAAGTGTCCTCCGTTAATCCCTCACTGCTTTCTTGTCTTCAGCCGGACTTGGCGCTCTCTTTGAGCAGTGTAACCATGTCTGTTCTCTGCCCCAGAATCGCAATGGGGATGACAGATGCCGCGTGTGGCTCAACTCTCAGATCAGCCATCTATTCAGTGGCCACCGGGAAAGCCTCAGGCTGGTGCAGGTCCCGCGTGCTGCCGTGTAATACGCCTCCTAGTGTTATCGAACCTCAGGCGTCATCTTGGCCCTCGTAATCATACCCAAGGTATGTTGGACATTTTGAGTTCAGTTAATCCCACCATGGTGCACATCCCTGCCATCTTTAGTCACCATCCTAAAAGTCAGCCCCACGGCCGTCTGTTCCCCTTCCTGCTTTGGGAGTCCTCTTGCCTAGCCTAACCTCATATGCCTTTCTTTTCCTGACTTTGCCTTGTGTCCCCTGCAGTCTATGCCACGTTTCTATTAACTTTAGTAAATTGAATACGTTTTCTTGCTACTGTAATAAGACTGCCGGATTGTTCTATTTTATTACTGGTCTTACTGGTATAAAAGAAGTGCTTTGACTTTTATAATTTATTTCATATTTGGCTTTTTTGGGGGAAACTTTTATTAGTTTTAAGTGATTTTCAATTGATACTCTTTGTACAAAAAGAATACATCTGAACTTTGTCATCAGTTCTTGGCACTGAGCTTCAAAAATCCTTGGAATTTCCTGAGTGACTGGAGAGCCAATGAGGCGACTCCTGGTGGGTCCCCGGAGAGCTTCAGGATGGGAACTGCTCACCAGAAACACCAAGCACACAATTAGAGGTTGGAACTTCAGGCCAGCCATCACTGGGGAGGGGAGGGATGTTGGAGATGGCCTTCAGGCACATGGCCGGTGATTTAATCAATCGTGCCTGCATAGTAGAACCCCAGTAAACCTCCGGACACCAACGCTGGTGGAGCTTCTTGGTTGGTGAATATAGCAGTGGGGGTGGGATGAGCCCTGTCGCCATGCAGAGGGCATGGAAGCTGCGTCCGGGATCCTCCAGACCTCGTGTTACGTGCATCCTTTGTTAAAAAACTGAAATTTTTTTCAGTGAGTTCTGTGATTTCTTCCAGGGAATTATCAGACCTGAGGTGGGGGCTTGTGGGACCCCCATCTTTGTAGCCGGTTGGTAGGAGTGCTGGTCCCTGAGCCTTGAGGCTGGAGTCTGAAATGGGTCATTACTGTGAGGACTCTGCCCTGATCCGTGGGTTCTGATGCTAACTCTGGTAGGTGGGCGTCAGAGCAGAATCAAATTGCAGGACACCCAGCTGGCGTTGGAGAGTTGGTATCAGAACAGTGCTTTTCCTCTTTCCAACACATTTATCTATTATTTTGTTTTCTTTCTGAATTTCATTGGCCAGTACTAGTTATTATTACACTGTTGGAGAAAGCAGGTCTCTTTACCTTATAAAGTGAACAGTGAAGTGACAGAGCCAAAGTTCTACTTCAATCCCTGACTTTAAAAAACTTCTAGTAAAATAGAGAAAGGTACCTCCTTAACATGATGGTTTTTGTTTTGTTTTTCCTCAAACTGGCAGCCACCATCATACTTAATGATGAAAACACTAAAGATATTCGTCGTTTCTTCCCGCACTTCTCACCCTGGAGAGCTTTCCAGTCCTTTGCTGCGTCTGCGTTACTACTTACTCTTCAGTTTAGAGAAGTCCTGTTAATTGTCCCTGACCCTCCAGGCTGGTTTGGTCCCTTTGCTCATTTGACACCTTGTCTGTCCCTTATGACAGATGCCTCATAGTATTATAACTGCCCATTGCATGTCTGTTTCCACTCCTGCCCAGCTTCCATTATAGGACAGTGCAGGCCCCATGCCTGACACGTAGGGAGCACTGGGCTGTGCTTGAACGGGACCCGTGACTGGCAGGTGTCAAGTGCAGGCTTCACCCTTTCCCCTGAGGTTCAGAGCAGGAGCATTCTGTTTCTTCCAGAAAGACCACCTGAATGGGGCTTTTAGTTATGGAAAGATTAGATGAAGACTTTCTCCCGACATGGAGATATTTAGAGAACCCTTCCATAAAGAGAAAGGGCACTTTTTGGGAGGTGAGACTAAGATGGTCTCCTAGGAACAGTGGAGAATTGCCACTGGGAGGAAAGACTGGGTTGCTCTGGGGAGAGATGGATTTTTCACAGAAGGAAGAAGAGAAAGTGGAGGGTGAGCCGTGACATCCGTTTCCTTCTTGTCCATCAAACTGAATTTGAAACCCTACGGGGAGAGGGCTGAAGACCAGAAGATGAGCTGATGTTCTGGGCAGGAATCTAGATCTGGAGGACCCAGCAGCGCTGCGTTGGAGGGGAGGCGACATCCCCTAGTTCTGCCCTCCCCCGCTCAGACCCTGGTGCTCGCACCGAGGCCTCATCATCAGTGCCGGCGCCCAGGCTTCTTCCAGGAGGGTGTTGACCATGGTCTTCGCCTGGCAGGGCAGGGGGACCCTGCAGACACACGTGAGGACTGCAGCCCACAGAACAGCTTGCAGCACATTTCAGCAGCTCTTCGAGGAATTTCCAGAAATGAGTCGGGGATACACTGGGAGCTGCTAAGCAACTGGGTAGTCGAATGAGGCAAGGGTAAAGAGGATCTCAGAGATGTTGTTGAAGAAGCGTATTAAAAGTTAACGTGGAGTCCAACAGGTGATCCCGTCCGGACTGAATAAGTGAAAGAGAAAAAGCGAACCTTGGTTTCTACCTTACACCACAGGAAAAAACTAATTCAAGATGGCTCATAGGCCTTGATGTAAAAGCTAAAAGTATGAAGCTTCTACAGGGAAACGTGGAAGAATATCTTCATGGCTTTGGGGTACGTGAAGATTTCTTAGTGAGGGCATAAACAGCACTGATCATTAAAAATATACATATGAATATATATATATAAATTGAACTTAATTAAAATTTTAAAAACATCTGCTCTTCAGGAGACATCTGTGGGGATGGAATATTACTCAGCCATAAAAAGAAACGAAACTGAGTTATTTGTAGTGAGGTGGATGGACCTAGAGTCTGTCATACAGAGTGAAGTAAGTCAGAAAGACAAATACCGTATGCTAACACATATATATGGAATCTAAAAAAAAAATGTGTTCTGAAGAACCTAGGGGTAAGACAGGAATAAAGACACAGACCTACTAGAGAACGGACTTGAGGATATGGGGAGGGGGAAGGGTAAGCTGTGACAAAGCGAGAGAGAGGCATGGACATATATACACTACCAAACGTAAGGTAGATAGCTAGTGGGAAGCAGCCGCATAGCACAGGGAGATCAGCTCGGTGCTTTGTGACCGCCTAGAGGGGTGGGATAGGGAGGGTGGGAGGGAGACGCAAGAGGGAAGAGATATGGGGACATATGTGTAGCTGATTCACTTTGTTATAAAGCAGAAACTAACACACCACTGTAAAGCAATTATACTCCAATAAAGATGTTTAAAAAAAAAAAGACATCTGTGGGAAAATGAAAACACAAGCCATAGTCTGAGAGAAAATATTTGTAATACATATATCCGCACAGGACTCATTTCCGGAGTATATAAAGAATTATTGCAACTCAATAAGAAGAAAAAATACCTCCATTTTTAATCTTTTTTTTAACATCTTTATTGGAGTATAATTGCTTTACAATGGTGTGTTTGTTTCTGCTTTATAACAAAGTGAATCAGCTATACGTATACATATATCCGCATATCCCCTCCCTCTTGTGTCTCCCACCCTCCCTATCCCACCCCTCTAGGTGGTCACAAAGCACCGAGCTGATCTCTCTGTGCTATGCGGCTGCTTCCCACTAGCTATCTATTTTAAATTTGGTAGTATATATTAGTCCATGCCACTCTCTCACTTCGTCCCAGCTTACCCTTCCTCCTCCCAACACCTCCATTTTTAAATGGGCAAAAGGTATAAAAGAATACTTCACAAAAGAAGATATATGGAAAGAAAAACACATGAAACAGGCACAGTGAAATGCACATTAAAACCACGGTGAGATGCCACTACACTCCCTCTGGAATGACTGAAAATAAAAAGACTGACAACATTACATGTTGGCAAAGACAAGGCACAGTTGGAACTCAAAGCATTGCTTGTGAGAACATAAAATGGGAAAATCATTTTGGAAAGTCATTTGGCAGTTTTCTTAAAAAGGGAAACACACCCTTGCCATGTCATCCATTAATTCTGTTCCCAGAGAATTTACCCGGGAGAGATGAAAACATGTTCAAAGTGTGTCCACAAAACGGGTTGTATGCAAATGGTTAGCGCAGGCTTATTCATAATAATCCCAGACTGGAAACACTGCAAACGCCCATCAACAGCGAATGGAAAAACAAAGTTTGGTTTACTCATACAGTGGAATTCTACTTGGTAAAAAAATTAAACTGCCGACACACAGAGCAATGATAAATCTTAGAAACATTGTGCTGAATAAAGGAAGTCAGACACAAAACAGTATATGTGTTGTATGATTCCAGTTATGCGAAATTCTAGACCAGGCAAAGCTAATCTGTAGTGTAGAAATTATATCAGTGGGTGAAGGGATGGGGATTATTGGTGGCCAGGGCATGAGGGAGTTTTTGGCTAGTGATAGAAATGTGGTATAAATTGAGGAGATGGTTACACCATTATATGCATTTATCAAAACTCATCAAACTGTACCTTTAAAATGAGTGCAGTTTATTTATGTAAATTATATCTCAATAAGATTGATTTTAAAAACCACAGCAAGATCCTATTTCCTGCCCATTAGAATGACCAAAATTCACGTGACTGTCAATACCAAATGTTAACAAGGGTGCAGAGCAGCTGGAACGCTCACGCATTGCCGGTGCATTGCTGGTGCAAGCCTAAAATGGGCTCTTTGAAAAACTTGTTGATTTCTTATAAAATTAAATATACACCTGCCCTATGACCCATCAATTGTATTCTTAGGTATTTACCCCAAAGATATGAGACCATATGTATAAAAAGTCTTGTAGAAGAATGTTTATAGAAGCTTTATTTGTAATAGCAAAACAAACAAACAAAAAAACCTGGAAACAATGTAAATCTGCAGGTGACAGATAAACAGATTGTGGTCTGTGAAATGCTACATTAAATTAGAAGAGGATGAACTGGTGACACATGCAAAACCACACATGATTCTCATAAGTATTATGTTGAGTGAATGAAACCAGACACAAAGAGCACAGATGGTGAGTCCGTTGGAAGGAAGTTCAAGAACAGGCACGTCTAAGGAAACT